CGCACCACGTGTCACACGAGGGGTCCAGAGGCTTGACTCGGACCTGCGGTGGGGGTACGCGAATAAAAGAACACGAACGAGAGGTGTGTGGACGGTAAAAGGGCGGCTTGCCACGGGGTACTCGCACCACGTGTCACACGAGGGGTCCAGAGGCTTGACTCGGACCTGCGGTGGGGGTACGCGAATAAAAGAACACGAACGAGAGGTGTGTGGACGGTAAAAGGGCGGCTTGCCACGGGGTACTCGCACCACGTGTCACACGAGGGGTCCAGAGGCTTGACTCGGACCTGCGGTGGGGGTACGCGAATAAAAGAACACGAACGAGAGGTGTGTGGACGGTAAAAGGGCGGCTTGCCACGGGGTACTCGCACCACGTGTCACACGAGGGGTCCAGAGGCTTGACTCGGACCTGCGGTGGGGGTACGCGAATAAAAGAACACGAACGAGAGGTGTGTGGACGGTAAAAGGGCGGCTTGCCACGGGGTACTCGCACCACGTGTCACACGAGGGGTCCAGAGGCTTGACTCGGACCTGCGGTGGGGGTACGCGAATAAAAGAACACGAACGAGAGGTGTGTGGACGGTAAAAGGGCGGCTTGCCACGGGGTACTCGCACCACGTGTCACACGAGGGGTCCAGAGGCTTGACTCGGACCTGCGGTGGGGGTACGCGAATAAAAGAACACGAACGAGAGGTGTGTGGACGGTAAAAGGGCGGCTTGCCACGGGGTACTCGCACCACGTGTCACACGAGGGGTCCAGAGGCTTGACTCGGACCTGCGGTGGGGGTACGCGAATAAAAGAACACGAACGAGAGGTGTGTGGACGGTAAAAGGGCGGCTTGCCACGGGGTACTCGCACCACGTGTCACACGAGGGGTCCAGAGGCTTGACTCGGACCTGCGGTGGGGGTACGCGAATAAAAGAACACGAACGAGAGGTGTGTGGACGGTAAAAGGGCGGCTTGCCACGGGGTACTCGCACCACGTGTCACACGAGGGGTCCAGAGGCTTGACTCGGACCTGCGGTGGGGGTACGCGAATAAAAGAACACGAACGAGAGGTGTGTGGACGGTAAAAGGGCGGCTTGCCACGGGGTACTCGCACCACGTGTCACACGAGGGGTCCAGAGGCTTGACTCGGACCTGCGGTGGGGGTACGCGAATAAAAGAACACGAACGAGAGGTGTGTGGACGGTAAAAGGGCGGCTTGCCACGGGGTACTCGCACCACGTGTCACACGAGGGGTCCAGAGGCTTGACTCGGACCTGCGGTGGGGGTACGCGAATAAAAGAACACGAACGAGAGGTGTGTGGACGGTAAAAGGGCGGCTTGCCACGGGGTACTCGCACCACGTGTCACACGAGGGGTCCAGAGGCTTGACTCGGACCTGCGGTGGGGGTACGCGAATAAAAGAACACGAACGAGAGGTGTGTGGACGGTAAAAGGGCGGCTTGCCACGGGGTACTCGCACCACGTGTCACACGAGGGGTCCAGAGGCTTGACTCGGACCTGCGGTGGGGGTACGCGAATAAAAGAACACGAACGAGAGGTGTGTGGACGGTAAAAGGGCGGCTTGCCACGGGGTACTCGCACCACGTGTCACACGAGGGGTCCAGAGGCTTGACTCGGACCTGCGGTGGGGGTACGCGAATAAAAGAACACGAACGAGAGGTGTGTGGACGGTAAAAGGGCGGCTTGCCACGGGGTACTCGCACCACGTGTCACACGAGGGGTCCAGAGGCTTGACTCGGACCTGCGGTGGGGGTACGCGAATAAAAGAACACGAACGAGAGGTGTGTGGACGGTAAAAGGGCGGCTTGCCACGGGGTACTCGCACCACGTGTCACACGAGGGGTCCAGAGGCTTGACTCGGACCTGCGGTGGGGGTACGCGAATAAAAGAACACGAACGAGAGGTGTGTGGACGGTAAAAGGGCGGCTTGCCACGGGGTACTCGCACCACGTGTCACACGAGGGGTCCAGAGGCTTGACTCGGACCTGCGGTGGGGGTACGCGAATAAAAGAACACGAACGAGAGGTGTGTGGACGGTAAAAGGGCGGCTTGCCACGGGGTACTCGCACCACGTGTCACACGAGGGGTCCAGAGGCTTGACTCGGACCTGCGGTGGGGGTACGCGAATAAAAGAACACGAACGAGAGGTGTGTGGACGGTAAAAGGGCGGCTTGCCACGGGGTACTCGCACCACGTGTCACACGAGGGGTCCAGAGGCTTGACTCGGACCTGCGGTGGGGGTACGCGAATAAAAGAACACGAACGAGAGGTGTGTGGACGGTAAAAGGGCGGCTTGCCACGGGGTACTCGCACCACGTGTCACACGAGGGGTCCAGAGGCTTGACTCGGACCTGCGGTGGGGGTACGCGAATAAAAGAACACGAACGAGAGGTGTGTGGACGGTAAAAGGGCGGCTTGCCACGGGGTACTCGCACCACGTGTCACACGAGGGGTCCAGAGGCTTGACTCGGACCTGCGGTGGGGGTACGCGAATAAAAGAACACGAACGAGAGGTGTGTGGACGGTAAAAGGGCGGCTTGCCACGGGGTACTCGCACCACGTGTCACACGAGGGGTCCAGAGGCTTGACTCGGACCTGCGGTGGGGGTACGCGAATAAAAGAACACGAACGAGAGGTGTGTGGACGGTAAAAGGGCGGCTTGCCACGGGGTACTCGCACCACGTGTCACACGAGGGGTCCAGAGGCTTGACTCGGACCTGCGGTGGGGGTACGCGAATAAAAGAACACGAACGAGAGGTGTGTGGACGGTAAAAGGGCGGCTTGCCACGGGGTACTCGCACCACGTGTCACACGAGGGGTCCAGAGGCTTGACTCGGACCTGCGGTGGGGGTACGCGAATAAAAGAACACGAACGAGAGGTGTGTGGACGGTAAAAGGGCGGCTTGCCACGGGGTACTCGCACCACGTGTCACACGAGGGGTCCAGAGGCTTGACTCGGACCTGCGGTGGGGGTACGCGAATAAAAGAACACGAACGAGAGGTGTGTGGACGGTAAAAGGGCGGCTTGCCACGGGGTACTCGCACCACGTGTCACACGAGGGGTCCAGAGGCTTGACTCGGACCTGCGGTGGGGGTACGCGAATAAAAGAACACGAACGAGAGGTGTGTGGACGGTAAAAGGGCGGCTTGCCACGGGGTACTCGCACCACGTGTCACACGAGGGGTCCAGAGGCTTGACTCGGACCTGCGGTGGGGGTACGCGAATAAAAGAACACGAACGAGAGGTGTGTGGACGGTAAAAGGGCGGCTTGCCACGGGGTACTCGCACCACGTGTCACACGAGGGGTCCAGAGGCTTGACTCGGACCTGCGGTGGGGGTACGCGAATAAAAGAACACGAACGAGAGGTGTGTGGACGGTAAAAGGGCGGCTTGCCACGGGGTACTCGCACCACGTGTCACACGAGGGGTCCAGAGGCTTGACTCGGACCTGCGGTGGGGGTACGCGAATAAAAGAACACGAACGAGAGGTGTGTGGACGGTAAAAGGGCGGCTTGCCACGGGGTACTCGCACCACGTGTCACACGAGGGGTCCAGAGGCTTGACTCGAACCTGGGGGTATAAGGCTATGTTGCGCCTGACGCCCTGGAAGGGCAGCGTCCAGCGTCCGGACGTGACCGTCCGGACGCTGGACGCGTCAAACAGGTTTGACGCTGGACGTTTGAGAAAAAAGTTTTCGGGCAGCCCGGAAAAAAATCCGACGAAATTGACGCGCGATTTCATCGCGACCAGAATTGCGATGAAATCGCAAAGTGGGGGTTGCGTTTTTTACCTACAAAAACGCAACCCTCATTTACTCCCCCCCACACATTTGTACCCATCCAAATCTACATCTCCCAACCAGGCCGACCCCCAACTAAACTAGAGAACCAGATCTAGCTCGACATTACACAGATCTGTTTCTCTCGACATTGCCTAGCATACCTAACTCTAGAATCCGCCAGACGCGCTACTAAGCCTTCCTAGCTACGTTTAGGTTAACGCGATTAAGTTATCATGTGCCAACTCCCCCCTTCCCTAGGTTATGCATGTGAGAACGAGTATTTAACTTGTGTGTGAGATTAGGATATTTTCAGGATTTTCTTGAGTATTTATAACGTAAGGTAAAAAATGGGGACTAGTTGCATTCTAACCCCTGTCTAGACTTACTAGGCCGGTTTTTTTAACCCCTGCCCGGGAAAAGTTTTGCCCTGCCCGGACTAGCGTCAAGCGGGCGTCCAGGGCAGAGGAACCCGGGCGTCAAGCGTCTGGACGCCCCGTCCAGACGCCAGCGTCAAAAACGCCTGACGCGTCAGGCGCAACATAGGTATAAGGTGGATGATTCAAGGAGTGAAGGAAGACGCGGGTAGAGGATGGAATGAGAAGGGACGGCCTGACACCAAGTACTGGCGCCACATGTCGCAGGTGGGGTCTAGAGGCTTCACTCGGACCTGAGGAAGGGGAGAAGGGGAGAGTGGAGAGAGAAGGTCAGAAGGGACGGCTTGCCACGGGATAATCGCACCACGTGTCACACGTGTGGCCTAGAGGCTTCACTCGAACCTGGGTTGGGGGACGAGTAGTGGTGAAAGAGGGGACAAAGGAACGAACAAGCATGTGAGGTATGTGGATGGCGAAAAGGTGGCGCAGCTTGCCACAGGGTACTCGCGCCACGTGTCACACGTGGGTATACACCCCACCCACCCCAGAGATACACCCCACCCACCCCAGAGATACACCCCACCCACCCCATGCCACCCACCCCCCTATCTGCCCAGTCACCTACACGCTACTGTGGGCATGTCATCCACACACTCCACTCCACCAAGCGAAACCGCATACCACCCCTCCTCCCCCCCATCCTCCCGTGGGCATGGCATCCATCAGAGCGTCGTCTGACGACCGATGCAGCGCATGCCGTGCCCTCCACGCAACTCTACCACGCAAAACCACATTTCACCCCCCGTTCTTTTCCCACCCTCGCCCCTATCTTACCGTGGGCATGACATCCATGAGTGCATCGTCTGTCGACCGGTGCAGCACGCGAGTGAAGTGCTTCATGTCACTGCCGGGTTGACCTGCCACCTGATGGGGTGATGGGGGAGTGGGGAGAGAGAGGATGGAAAAGAGGATGGGGAGACGACAGAGGACATGGGGAAGAGGACAGGGAGCGCATATGACAGACATTGGGACCCCTCGCCCCTGCCCCTCCTCCTGTTGCCCTGTACAACCCTCTAGTGAAGTGCTTCATGTCACAGCCGGGCAGACTCGCCGGGTTGGTTGGCGAGGGGCGGTGGGAGAAGGAAAGGCGGGGAGTGAAGGGCGAAGGCAGTGGGCGAAGGCAGTGGGCGAAGGCAGTGGGCGAAGGCAGTGGGCGAAGGCAGTGGGCGAAGGCAGTGGGCGAAGGCAGTGGGCGAAGGCAGTGGGCGAAGGACAGACATGAAGCCTCAAAATTCACCAATTTATCAATTGACCTGCAGATTCGTGTAGTGCATGATTCACGATTCTTAGACACTATATATGGGGATCCGTTATAACGTTCAGATTGCCTCACAAGTCACCGACTCACCTGCAGATACGTGTAATACATGATCCGTGATTGCCAGTTCATATAAGGCGACCCGTTACTGGTCAGCATCACGTGAATCGCATTTTCCCTCCCGCCCTTCGTACCACCTCCATTACCACCCTCCCTTCCTCCTCTCGTTCCCCTTGCTCCTTCCCCTCCTGCATTGCTGCTCCCCCTGCTGTCGCCGCTGCTGCTGCTGTCTGTATGGGAGCCTCTCAACAGACGAACGTCGTCAAACGAGCCACGCCTGGGAAACGGAGTGAGGGGAAAGAGAGGGGTTAAACATGTGTGTTGCTGCTCCCCCTGCTGTTGCAGCTGCTGCTGGTATGGGAGCCGCGCAAAAGACGGACGTCATCAAACAAGCCACGCCTGGGGAACACGGAGCAAGCGGAAGGGACAGAAAGGGAGGGAACGAGTAGGGAAGCGAGGGAAACATGTGTATTGCTGCTCCCCAAGCCTTCCTTGCTCCCCCTGCTGCTGCTGTCTGTATGGGAGCCTCGCAACAGGCGAACGTCGTCAAACGAGCCACGCCTGGGAAACAAGGATGGAGGAGGTGGGAGGAGAGGCCGGCGTGGTTCAGAAAGGGACGCCCAGAACCGGCTATTCTATCAAATTTAGATGACGCTGTTTAATAGCGGATCTACTTATACCGAATGCCAATTCCAACGCACTACACAACTACAGGGACGCCCGTACAGTTCAGGCGAAAAGAATCCACAAGGCCTGCTGAACTGATAGAACAGCGAATAGGGACAAAATTTGCCGACCACCTGTTAGTAGCATCGACAATTTTGGCCGACCATGTGTACACAAATTCAAGTACAAGCTTGTAGCCACCCCGTCTTGCCTTCCCGGGCATACCTAGCCGCACTGATAGCCGTCTAGCCGTCTAGCAACACCAGCCGTCTAGCTGCTAACCGTCTGGCCACGCTATCCGACTTGCCGTCTGGTCGCATTGGGCATCTGGCCGTCTAGACGTCTAGCCGCACTAACTGTCTGCCGTCTAGCCGTCTAGCCGCACAAACGGTCTCACGTCTAGCCGTCCAGTCGAGTGTTCGCGCACCTTCCGATGGCATGCAGGCGCCGGTAGTGCTCGCGCGGGCGGGAGCAGAAGCTGATAATGCAGAGACCAATAACGAGGATAATGATCGCCCGCGTCGTCGGCCCGTGCGCGACTTGCCGGCGAAGGCCTCTCATGGCTGGCGACGACTCTTAACGAAATTTAAGCAGGCGGAGTGTGGCTATAACGCGGATTGGTTGTCGGAATTTCCTGGGTGCCTAGAAACTGCAGACGCGTCCTCCCAACCAGCCCAGTTCGCAGGGTACGTTATTCAAGACGGCTAAACAACGGAGGTAAGACGGAAAAACAACTAACATAAAACATATAACCGGCAAGTGCAGTCAATTGGAAGATAATTAAGCTACATGCGGCTCGCTAACTCCGACGCTCGCGCTCAGTTGGCCTGCTAGCTTGCTGGACCAGCAGCCGTTGTCCAGTCCAGCGATCAAGCAGACTGGTGGGTCTTCCTCGTAATCAGTGATCCCATGCCAGGACCGTGACTGGGAGGGGATGGAGTGGAGTGGTGTGGAGTGGAATGGAGTAGAGTAGAGTGGAGTGGAGTGGAGTGGAGTGGAGTGGAGTGGAGGCAAGGGCGGGGGCATATCCATTCCGTGCATCTCACTATTCGAAAACCGAGATAAAAGAGTTCGTACCTATTGGTACCTGCAAATAACCATCTCAAGGCCGCAGAACCTGGCTTCGCCGTGCGTGTACCCCTCGGGAACACCAAAGCACGGGTGGGATTGGGTTGGGTGTGTTCCCAGATGATGATGATGTTCGAAATTGAAGAGTGTTGTTGGGGCCGTACAGTGAAGAGGACATGCATTTATTGTAATAACATGATTTACATTCAGGAACTCCTCCTTTTCAAGGTAAAAAGGGTTTCCCGACAGGGCTGACGATATCAGACTATTTTAGTCTGATTGTCTGAAATTTCAGACTATTTTCCTGTCATTCCTGATTTTTCAGAGTTGGCTGATTTTGAAAAATGAGTGCTTCAGACTAATGTTTTTTTCAATACTGAAAATTTCAGAGCACTTGCTTACCGGATAATGAGTTTTCTTACTACAGAGTACGAACTCGCCTACCCCATCCCTGTTGCTTCTGAGGGAAACCCATCCCTCGGAACTTTTGCAAAAGACCCGTTAGTAGAAAAACCTGTCTTAGTGTAATGGTAGTCTCTGAATTCTTAAAATTTCAGAGTTTATTTTTCTCTGGTTCCTGAGAAATCAGAGTGCTCATGTTTTGGGAAATGGGCCTCAGACTAATTTTTTTTTGGGGGGCAGAACAATCAGAGTGGTTTTATTTCAATAGTCAGCCCTGTTTCCCGAATGCCGTAGCTTTCCCACAGTCGCACTAGTGAAAGACTCATCCAATTACCCTACCATAGATTCACGCCCATAAGTATTGATAACGTTCCCACCATCCTTTCCCACCTCCCCACCCCAATCACCCTCCTCAAAACCACAACCACCACTCACCTAATTTCCCACCCATCAACCCACTCTCTACTTCCATTCTCCACCCCTCTTCCCTGCACGAGCAATCAACGGTCCTAGATCAACCGTTGACGGCCCTCTAGTCCCCCTCCTCTTGTCCTCCCCAGCAGCAGCAGCATCGCACAGCCGCGCCAGCACGTCCGGGAAAGGCTCGTCAATTGCTGTGAGCTGCAGCTGCTGCCGCTGCACCACGAGAATGCGATGGCCTGCCTCCTTGGCGCTTGAATAGAGCTCCTGAGAGATTACAGATAGACAGATAGAGAGAAGTATTGGATAGAGGGACGGACGAACATCAGGCAACGGCTCGTCAATTGCTGTGAGCTGCAACTGCTGCCGCTGCACCACGAGAATGCGATGCCCTGCCTCCTTGGCGCTTGAATAGAGCTCCTGAGATGGGCAGAATTGTGGAAGCAGAGGGGACAAGGAGAGGGAGCAGGCAGAGGGAAACATGGGAGGGAGGGAGGGGTGTTGGGGTTAGGCTCATTCAATTTCTGTCAACTGCGGCTGCTGCCGCTGCACTACGAGAATGCGATGCCCTGCTTCCTTGGCGCTAGTATAGAGCTCCTGAGATGGTAACAGAGATATGGGAGAGACAAGATGGTAATCACATGGGAAAGTGAGAAACAGAAAACAGAGCGGGTAAGTGAAAGCAAATGAAAATGGGGAGTATGGAACATCAGCCACACCTGCAGCACCGCACTGCACCGGCCACCAACCCAGTATTGAGACGTCTCAACGTTTCACCTGTGGAGGAGTTAAGCACAAACCCGAAGAGACTTACCTTGGGCATGCAAGGAACAAGTACAACAGCCCAAGCTCTCACCAAAGGATGTTCCTGACACTGTAGAGGGTGTGGGTCTCACTTACACAGCAACCCACACAAACCAGCCTGCCCCTGAGGTGCCTCAAATGGAGGGACTAAGCAAGGCCTGCCCCTCTCCTTGGGAGCACACGGCACTGCTTTCACCTTCACAGCCACACCAGCAGCCGCGTCTCTCTTCTCCTCAAAGGAAGGTGGCTTCTGAGTCGACTCAAAAGTCACCCCTGAACCCAAAACCAATCAGTTTCTTTGAGCTCACCTTGGGAGCACACGGAACAGCCTTCACTTCCACAGCCACACCAGTAGCTGCCTCAATTCTCTCCTCCTCCCCCTCTTCCCTCTTCTTCCTCCCATTCCTCCTCTTCCTCTCCTTCCTCACCAGTAAAAAAGACTCACCTTGGGAGCACACGGCACTGCTTTCACTTCCACAGCCACACCAGCAGCTGCCTCAATTCTCTCCTCCTCCCCCTCCTCTTCCTCCCCTCCTTCCAGCTCCTCTGGATGTGCCAGCAGCCACACCCGCAGCACCTCACTGAACCGCGCTGCATCCACCACGTCTTCAAATCCCACCACTATCCACGCATCCACCTCTGCTGCTGCTGCCCCAGCAGCATTATCCCCGTTATAAACACCCTCAGCAGAGTACGCAGTGGCAGAGCCCCAGTCAGGGGGGAGCTGGAAGGAGTACGGCACTCTCTGCACTCGCTGCCCATCGCTGCTGCCACTGCTGCTGCTCCAGCGCATTATCATCACGACCTGAGGAAAGAGGAGAAAAGAAACAAACAAACAAACACACACACAGTCAGGGGGGGGGTGTGGAAGGAGTAAGGCACTCTCTGCACCCGCTGCCACCGCTGCCACCGCTGCCACCGCTGCCACCGCTGCCACCGCTGCTGCTCCAGAGCATTATCATCACGACCTGATGAAAGAGGAGAAAAGAAAGAAACCAACAAACACACAGTCAGGGGGGGGGTTGGAAGGAGTATGGCAGCCTCTGTACTCGCTGCCCCTCACTGCCCCCGCTGCTGCTGCTCCATCTCATAATCATCACAACCTGGGAACACACACACACACACACACACACACACACACACACACACACACACACACACACACACACACACACACACACACACACACACACACACGCGCGCGCGCACACACGCACACACGCGCGCGCACGCACGCACGCACGCACGCACGCACGCACGCACGCACGCACGAGCATGGGGAGGTGCCAAGTGCAGGGGCAGAAGAACATCCACCGTTCATAGTCCAAAGTAGGGTTTCAAAGGACAGCCAATGAGACTTCAGAGGCAGCATCACCCTAAAAAAAAAAAAAAAAACGTTGGTCTCTGAAGACTAGATACGGATGTTAATCCGATCGCATTGAGCCACTCACCCACACTGCCTGCAGGTCAAGCCACCACAGCCGGTCCAGGTCCGGCCGAACCACCCCTCTCCGCCGAGCCTCCTCCTCCTCCGCATCCCGAGCCTGCTCCAAATACTTCTCCGCCACAGCTTCCGCCCCGAACCTCTCCTTCTCCTCCCGAACCTTCTCGAGAAAACTTTTCACCGCTGCCCGCTGCTTCGGGTCGCCCCCTTCCCTCCCTGCTGCTACAATTTGTGAGAGCGTCGGGGCAGAATTAATTTCCTCCTCTGATAACCACCTAGGGAGGTCCTTTCCTAGCTGCTGAATCACCTCCCTCACATCAGGATCCCTCTCCTCTTCATACCTTGCTCTGATGTCCTCTGCCCACTGCTTTGTGTTGCTCCAACCCTCTTCACCGCTCCCCACCTCTCTGCCTGCCCTCCCACCTTGTGTTTCCTCCAGCGACCAGGTCTGTCGGCCAATCATGCCTTTACTGCTACTCACTACCACACTCTCTCCTTTTTCCCATCCCCCACTCCCACTGCTCACCACCACACTCTCTCCCCCTTCTGCTCTCCCACTCCCACCGCTCACCACCACACTCTCACCTCCCTCACCTCCCTCCCCTCCCTCCCCTCCCTCCCCCCTCCCCCTCCCCTCCCTCCCCTCCCCCCTCCCTCCCTCCCCTCCCTCCCCTCCCTCCCCTCCCCCACTCTCACCACTCACAGCCGGACTTTCGCTTTCCTCCGCACCCCCATCGTCAATAAACCTGTTGGCATCAGAGGCATTCACATACTGTGAAACCGCCTGAACTAGCAGCTCATCTGTAGCACCGTCAGTTGCTGCAGGGGCGCTGGTTGCTGCAGTGCCGTTGCCTGCTGGTGCTGCTGATGCGATCCCCCCCTTGCTGCTCTCCTTTCTCTCCCCTCCCCTGAACCGCGGCACCACCACATCCATCGGGTCGTTCACAGAAATGCCGTCTGCAGGGGGGAAGGGGAGCGAGGATAGGGCAAAGGGGAAGAGGGTGAACAGGCTTCACACATCTCTCCTGTCTCTCCGCCCCACCCCCTCCCCTCATCCGCGGCACCACCACATCCATCGGGTCGTTCACAGAAATGCCGTCTGCAAGAACAATTGGGGGAGGGGGGGAGGTGGGGGTGGTAGAGGAGAGGGACAGTCGGGTCACATGGGGCTGTGTTAATATGGGGTGCAAGAACGGTGCCTTTCTCCCCACACCTCCCCCTCCTCCCCTCATCCGCGGCACCACCATATCGGATCGCTCACAGAAATGGCGTCTGCAGGGAGGAAGAGATGGGAGGGATGGGGGACGGGGGTCGAGACAGGGGAATAGGCGTGCAACAATCACCCCCTCTCCCCGCCAACCCCTCGTCTCATCCGCGGCACCACCATATCCATCAGATCAGCCAAGAAATGCCGTCTGCCTGAAGGGAGGAAGAGATGGGAGGGATGGGGGATGGGGGTCGAGACCACAATCACTTCCTCTCCCCACCAACCCTTCCTCTCATCCTCGTCACAACATCAAAGAAGAGTGTTTTAGAGACGTTGAAAAACCACTATTCTATTACAGCGACATCGGTTTACAACATTCACCCCCTTGCCAACCCCTCCTCTCATCCTCGTCACAACATTCAAGGTCACTCAGAGATCCTCCCCTTACGGTCACTCCACAGGGCGCACTTGCCTCGGCCGTAGTTCAGATTCTCCACCAGCTCACACACCCCGTCCTCCCTATCCTGCTTCCCACCCTCCTCCCCATAAAGATAGCCTGTTGAGTGCATCAAAGAACCATCCCATCCAGTTACCGAGTCAGCATTCCACAGGGCACTCACCTCGGCCATAGTTCAGATTCTCCACCAGCTCGGACACTCCGTCCTCCTTATAGCCGCCCCCTTTACCCCCGTTAGCCTCCTCCCCATAGAGCCTGTTGAGAGCGTCGAAAAACAGCTCCTGCTCTTCCTGCGTCAGCCCGTGCATCGAGTCCCTTCCGGCCTCATCATTCAGCATCACCCGCGCCACTAGAGTCACCAGCTCCTCATCTTCCACCCACCACGCAGCCCCACCAGAAGTAGAAGCACCAGCAACACCAGCAGCACCAGCAACACCAGCAGCACCAGCAGCCACCGCTGCTGCCGCTGCTCGCTGCCTCACCCTTCTCTTGGCATCCTCCAACTCCCACTGCTGCCTGCCCAGTCCCATCTGCACATTGCTCTCCCCCTGCCCCTCTACCTCCCTTTGGCTGCTGTCCCCTTCTCCTCCATTTTCCGCACCTGCTACTGCTGCTTCTGCTGCCGCCGCTGCAGCTGCTGCTGCTCCCGCCCTCCCTGCGTCCTCGCCCATCATCCCATTGTCATTTTTGCCAGCAGAACCGCTGCCTGCTACAGGCGTACTCGTTATAGTGTCACCCGCTGTACAGCCGCTGGTTACTGTAGCGCCCGCTTTAGTGTCACCCGCTACAGTGCCTCTCGGCAGCGATGTAATCACTCGCACCCTGCTTCTCCTCCTGCCCGCGCCTGCTCCTTCTGCTGCCCCTGCCCCTGCCCCTGCCCCTGCCCCTGCCCCTGCCCCTGCCCCTGCCCCTGCCCCTGCCCCTGCCCCTGCCCCTGCCCCTGTTTTAACTGCCCCTGCTGCTGCCCCTGCCCCTGCTGCTGTTGCCCCTGCTGCGGCTGGTGTATCGTCAGCAGTGGCAGCATCAGCAGCAGCAGAAGCGGCACCAACAGCAGGAGTAGCAGCAGCAGCAGCAGCAGCAGACGTCAGGAGGGGAAGACGGGAGAGAGGTGATGATTCGAGCTCGTGCCCTTCTTTCACTCTTGCAGCTTTCTGCTTCTGCGCCCCCTGCTGCTGCTATAGCTGCTGCCCCTGCTGTCGCACCACCTGCTGCTGCTGCTGCTGCTGCTGCTGCCACTGCTGCTGCTGCCCCTGCTGCTGCCCCTGCTGCTGCTCCTGCTGCTGCTGCTGCTGCTGCCCCTGTTGCTGCCGCCGCCGCCGCAGCTGCTGCTGCTGCACCTCCCTCAACCGCCGCACTGAACCCCGCCGCACCCACTCCTCCCACCTTTCCACCCAGCACAACCGCACACGCCTCCTCCCACACCGCATCCAACACCTGCTGCGTCACCACCTCGCCGCGCCTCCTCCTCTCCACCAGCAATCTCTGCATCTCAGCACTCACCTTCCTTGCTCGCTCCTTCTCCTCCCTCTCCTCCCTCTCCTGCCGCCTTACTAAGTCGGCACTCCTTCGGATCTCTGCCATTGCTGCCTGTCGCCTCTGCTCCTCTGTATCCCCCTCCTGCTGCTCCTGCTGCCCCTCTCTCTCCTCACCCTTCTCTCCCTGCTCTCCCTCCTCTCCCTTCCCGCCTTTCTCGCCTACCTCTCCCTTCTCCCCTTCCTCTCCTGCCCTCTCCACCCTCCTCTCCCTTACCTCGGCGCTAATATCAACCACAGCACCCCCTCTCTCACCCCCCCACGCCTCCTCTCCCCTCCCCCTACTCCCCACACCCTCCCGATCCCCCCCTACTAGCACATCCACTTCCCCTCCTCTCTCCCCACCAGCCACCCCATTCACCTTCCCGTTAATCCCCCTCACCTCCCTTCCCTCTCCCTCATAAAACCCAAACCCTGTTTCCCCCCTTCCCCTCCCATCCTCCCATTCCCTCTCCTCACTCCCACCAATCCCTCCCAACTCCTCTCCACCACTCTCAACCGCCTCCCCTCCCGCCCATTTCCCCTTGAACCTCTCTGCTCTCTCTCTTTCCATCCTCTCCTGTTCTGCCCTCCTCCTCCACCCTTCCACCTTTTTCTCTTTCATCTTCTTTTTCTCCCAATCCGTCCAACTTATCTTATCCTCCTTATTGTCACCCTCCTTATTCGTTACAAGTCCTTTCCCCTGCTTCTGCAACCCCTCTTTCTTTTTCTCTGCCTTGCCGCCCGCTCGTCCTCCGACCCACGCCACTGTAGCAGCAGTAACGACAAAACCAGCCGCCCACATCCACCCGCCAGCTGGCAACGGGGAGTTCCAAATCTCGCTCCCTCTCGGTCCAGAAGCCCCTCCTGTTGGTGTCGCGACCTCAGCCACTAACCCTTCGCCACGTGGCACCTCTTGATTGCGTTTACTCCCTTGACCCAAAGTGGCAGAGGAAGCTTCGGAGGGCTCTGCAGGGGCAGTGACAGGGGCACTGGAGGAAGCTTCCTTCATGGCGTCAGTCGAGGCAGTAGGAAGGACAGAGGAGTTGAGAGGGATAGTATCAGGGGAGGAGACAGGGGCAGGAGCGGAAGCGGATACAGGAGCGGGAACGGAAACAGGGGCGGAAGCGGAGACAGGGGCGGAGGCGGAAACAGAGGTGGAAGCGGAGACAGGGGCGGAGGCGGAAACAGAGGTGGAGGCGGAAACAGGGGCGGAGGCGGAAACAGAGGTGGAGGCGGGGACAGACGCGGAAGCGGAGACAGGGAGGGACTGCTTAGGAATGGGCGCAGCAGCAGGAGCAGGAGCAGCAGGGACGGTTGTAGCAACAGGGACGGTTGTAGCAGCAGGGGCGGTTGTAGCAGCAGCGGCGGTTGTAGCAGCGGCAGCCGTCTTTCCCCCGCCCGTCTTCCCCTTCCCCCCTTCCCCGTGCAGCCGCCGCAGCCGCCACTGCCCGCCGCGACCCTTCTTGTCGCGCTGCCACTCGCCGTCGCGCGGACGGCTGTAGCCGCCGCTACGGCCGCTACGGCCGCTCTGCGCGTCGCTCCTTAAGTCGGACTTCGCGTCGCGCCGTAAGCCCGACGTTGCGCTGCTGCTTCCGCCGCTTCCACGCGCCGCGGTTGCCGCACCGTCTGTGACTCTAGACTCGTCATTGCGCTCCGCGCGTGTGACAGTAACGAGGGGTGATCGGCCGGATCGTCTCTTGGAATTGCGGGGATTAAGAACCAACGATCCGGTATGTAACCCAACAGAAAATATACTCGATCGGCGGGAGGCAAGAATGCTTGAAGCGAGCTCTTTTCGCGGATCGCGGTTCCACCCGAAGCGCCATACCATTCCGCTGGATAAAGCGCTTAAATCGCCGTGTGAGCGCTGACGTGGCAGTGCTGCTAAAGCCGTCGACTTGGTCGGTCGCGACAATCGCGAAAGTGCGGCGACGGGTGTCGATCGCGCGAAGGGTGTCGCGGGTGCGCGGGGTCTCGAGGGGACGGGGGAAAGGTGGAGTGGGGAGGACTGGAGTAGCAATGCCATGCTTTCTTGCTCCGCAACGGGCTATATTTCTGTTCTGTTCGAATAAAAGAACGGAACGAGGAGGAAAAACGGAGACTGCAAGAGCACAATGAGGAGGTTCTTAGGTTCTAAAAGCCTATTCGGTAGGATGTTTTCAGGCCCGATCAGGGAACTGCCAAGAAGCTGCGAGGCAAAGGGAGTCACAGTGATCGCGGGGGCGGCACGGATCGGCGGATCGGCGTCGACGAGAAAGGGCCGTAGATGGAACTGTCAGTCATCTGTGATGCTCATCGGTCCGTCAAACTGAGAGGCTGGCGGTCTTGGGAATCAGCACAAGCGACCATATCAGCTCTTCTCCCTCTCCTCCTTTGCTTCACTTTCCTCGTCTGGCAATGGGATGGGAGACGAAAGGATCGTGGAACTTCCACGGTGGAAGAATACTACGCCGAGGAGGGGGGGACTCGAGGGCGGGGCAGGTGCGTTCGGGTCAAGAGGCGGTCAAGAGTTGAACGTTCTAGCGACTGTAGGGTTACCCGGTGTGCAACCACTGTGAACAGTGCATGTATTCATCATCCGCGGTCAAGAGGACTCCACTATAACCGCAAGATTGGGCTACATGGAACTATTACATTCGAACTACCGTATCAAGGTTTGTTAAGTTTTATTTAAACTGTACTACACATACACGCACACGCGAGCACAAGAAAAAAGTGTCTGAGATTATGTAATCGATAATAATGGCTTTTATTGAACACACGGATCGTATTGTGAGGAAAAATAAGTTGCAAAGGTTTAGTGCTGAGATTTGGACTTCATTTTAGTTGAGCTGATATCCATGAATGCATCAAAATGTGAAAGGATAAACTTGTAATTACGCTTAGTACTTGTATCAGCCCTATCGCCCATTCCAGCGCAGACAATTCTCAATACAGAACCTCCCCATCAAGCGGTGCGGCCGCCATCAGGTTCGATAAACTGTAGATATGCCTTGACCCCTATCCCATCCAGGTTCACGTATCACCACCACGCGTTGCGTGAATGGCTTATGGTGGCGACTTGCTGTCTACGTCAAGCGCCCAACACCAGCCTCTTTGTACCAAATCTTTCGTGCCCCTGGGCAGCATCCCGAAGCCTTCGCTGAATTTATGGGTGCTTTCGGGAAGACATATGGTTATGTGTGGTAAATACGTTTCCCTCCCTCGGTGTCAGCGGTCAGAAAGGCAGCGTAAGTGTTTCAAAATGTCAAACAGATTCGTCCAAAGTTTTCATCAGGACGTGCCTTCCTGATGAAGGTAAGCATTTTCGGGATATGGAAGGAGGTTCAAATCGACAGGACAACTGGAGTCGGTAGGAGAAGTGTGTTGGCGAGTTGTTGCTTCTTTCATATCTGTTTGCCGTAGCTCGCTCTTCGGTTTCAGACAGGGTGGGTGACCCTTGCATGGAAAGAAAGTAACAGCCCTTTGTTCCAGTTGCTGATATTGACGGGTTTTGTTTCTCCACCCCCTGGTCTAACTGCAGAGCAGACCAAGGTGGGGGAAACCCGAATGTCAACTGCTCTGTCCCTGAGGAATTCGCGAGAGGGCCATGGACCAATCAAGCTCTCTCTCCCCCCGTGCACATCGTTCCCCTCTCCGCACGGTGTTTGGATGAGTTCGCGGACCCAGGTGGGGAGGTGGGGAAAGGGAGGGGAGAGGTCTGGGGAGAGTTAAATGACGGTGGTATAAGGTGTTGTGAGGTAAACTGGGGTGGGGAGTTAAGCCTTATCCAGTTCGCCCTAGTCACCAGTCATCTTCCAACGAATCATTCCCCCTTTCCAGACTTCATCCATTCAAACGGTTCCAACCTCCAATTCGGTTCGGATCGGACTTTCACTTCTTTCTGCTCCAAATTCCAATCTCATATGCCAGCTCATATGTTGCCATGGATGCACATAGCCGGATTCACATCCTAGAATTCGGCGGCGGCGCAGTTCGGCCCCGACGCGATTCGCTCGTTCCTTGTTTCCGACCTTTACTGAGGCAGGCAAAACCTCCCCGCACCTTGCCCCATAATTTTTTCATGGCGGGATTACAGCATAAAAACGCCGATTTCCATTCCGTGAACCAAATCAGTTTTCGATCACCTTCCCGATCGAATTTGCGACACTCGCCCAGTCCTTCAGCAAGCACCGCGTTCGGTCCTTGTGCAACCACGCCATGGCTCGCGTCGTGCGTCTCTCCCTCGCGCTCCTCGCGCTGCTCGCCGTCGTTGGCGCCGCCAATGCCGGGGGCGTCAGCTACAGCCAAAGCGGCCTCGACTGGGGGGTGAGTTCCGATGCGATCTCATTACTGACTGGATGGGGAAACGAATTTCGCAACAAGCGCCTTTTTGCTGGTTTCTTGCATTTCGTTTTTTGAAAAGTCAAATCGACCAATCCGCGGACAGGCGATTAATCTCCAATCTTTGCACCTCTTTCAATCACATTCGGTTATTCACTTTTGCAGGGAGACTGCCAGTCGGGCGAGAAGCAGTCGCCGATCAACATCGTGATGGACGAGGCGGTGGAGGTCAGCGAGCCGGAGAAGTTCGTTCTCGAGTACGACTCCGCCGCCACCACCGCGAGCGTCATCAACAAGGGCTCCACCGTCCGTAAGTTTGCTGCCTCTTGAAAGTGTTCGCGAACCATTCGAACTGCTTGTTACAAGCCTCGGTTCGCTATTCGTTCGCTTAGATTCTTGGAATTAATCGGACATTTCTTCCTGTTGATCGCTTTGAACAGAGGTGGCTCCCAACCCGGACAAGACCTACAAGCTGCACATCAACAGCGGCACTTACAACCTCCTCCAGGTATGTCGAAGCCTCCTCCAGTGAATGCTCGGATGCTGAGCAGTGCACTTCCTTCCTCGCTCGTCCTCCCTTCAAATCCTCGCACTTCCTCAGAACATTCGACATTACCAGCGTCTCGTCTCGTCATGTTTTAGCCCACAGTCGCCCGCAATTTCTCGGAGCGCGTGCTAATGTTTCACCTCGTCACTTTGCTCACATCTATTTCCGCGGTTACATCTCCGTTCCCTCTCGGTCTCGGTGAATCCGGCTCTCGCCTTTGTACAAGAGAAGCTCATGCGCGTATACTCATCGTTTCTGCCCCACTCCGCCGCCTGTTCTCTCTCCTCCTCCCCGCGCGCAGATGCATGTGCACGCGTTCTCCGAGCACGCGGTGAACGGGATGCTGACGACCCTCTTTCCAATCCCCGCTTTTGAGTCGACTCAAAAAAACAGTTTTGAGTCGACTCAAAAAAACAGTTTTGAGTCGACTCAAAAAAACAGTTTTGAGTCGACTCAAAAAAACAGTTTTGAGTCGACTCAAAAAAACAGTTTTGAGTCGACTCAAAAAAACAGTTTTGAGTCGACTCAAAAAAACAGTTTTGAGTCGACTCAAAAAAACAGTTTTGAGTCGACTCAAAAACAGGTGAACGGGATGCTGACAACCCTCTTTCCAATCCCCGCTTTCTCCCTTTCTCTTTCTGCATCCCCCCTCCCCCCTCCCCCTCCCCGCGCGCAGATGCACGTGCACGCGTTTTCGGAGCACGCGGTGAACGGGCTGTTCGCGCCCATGGAGGCGCACTTCGTGCACGTGCACGAGAGCGACCCCTACCAGCTCGCCGTCGTCGGCGTCATGATCCGCCTGCAGCGCCACGACGAGGCCTCCGCCTGGATCGACACGTAAGTGCCCCACGAACGACCAATCCAGTACCAAAATCTTTTCTTTCGTCCATCTTTTGCGCTTCGCCTGGATCGACTGTGTTTGACATCAGTTAACTTCGCGTGCTCATATTTTCTAGTTGTTCTAGGAACGTGGCGTATCAGCTGTAGTGCCCTTGCTCACATTCCCTTTTCGACTGTCCTTTCCTTCCAAACGTCGTTCCTCAGCTGGCTGCCGAAGACTCCCGCTGATGTGAACGGCACGGCGACGATTGACATTCCTGACAACTTCTGGGCCGAGATGATCGACATGTCCATGGGCT